CCATGAAAGGTTTCTTTTTGCATTATAATAAATCATGACGTAAATTCCTTCATTTTAAAACTTGCAATATGCAAGTGTAGCTCCCATTCAAGCTCATTTCACGGTTATTTTTTTGGAAAAACTTTATTTTATTTAATAATAGTTTATTTAGTTGAAAGAACTTATTCATCCGTCGACTCAAATATTTTTATTTTCTTTTTTAACCAAAAATGATTCAACATAAACTAAACATATGTATATACGCCATATGTAGGCGTCCTATGTCAGTAGCATGCAAGTTTTCACAGATGCTTCGCCACAGCGCCACGTGCCAACGTTGAACTAGCAAAACAAAATAAATTAAAGTACTTGCTAATAGATCATTGTGGGCGGCAATGCGCGATTTCTGAGCACGAGTGAGTGACGGTTGGCTTTATCACAAACGCTATGAGCTCAATTGAGATGGATAACTCAATGCATTCACTCGTTGGATGGATAGAAAGGAACATTTCTTCAATAGAATTGAGTGTTAGAATGTTCGCGGAGGCTTACAGTTCTGAAGGGTACATAGTAAACTTTAGATATGTCAGTACTATCTGCGTATCTTCTTAAAACCGTTAAAAATTTTGGTGTTTTTCAATTTCAAGTATTTTAGTTTTATAAGATACGAGTTCAGAAAGAATTTCAAAAAGAGAGCGAGATTTTCGAAACAATACAATGTTGATTCCTCTTTCACGAATTATTTTTTCAAAAGCTCCATTCATTTGGTAAACATGACAAAAATACAAACTTACTGCATACATATTTACTGGTATACACTTACACTTGGTCAACATTAATTGAGCATAAAAATGTAAGTATATATATCTAATGTATTTTACGAGTTCCACTTGACCTACTATCTATCATTTGCGCCTGGATTAACTGAATACCATGGCCGTCAATCTAGCTAAAGCTTTTAAAATCGAACAATCTACCCTTAAGTGTGTAATGGTGGTGAGTATAGGTGGTGTAAGTGTATACAGCAATTTTCCTTATGTGTATACAAATAGTGGGTCAAAAGTATAACAAACATGTACTTTTGTGGAATATTTGTATGCAGTGTTGTGCTCTTCAATGATTATGTCCAACTCGATTAATGTAAGATGTAAGATGAGACTATGCCAGTAGTATTTGAAATGATATATTGTCACGTATACGCCATGGCTGTCAGTCATTAAGATATATATTTTTTTATTTACTTCGTGTTAATCCCAGTGTGCCCTTTTACCGGAAGTTGAATTTTAGGTATTATGAATATACGTTCATATACATATACAAATTTATACAGGGTTATCCAAAAACGAATAAAAAGCATTTAATATAATTTTTTCATGAAATTCCTTTCTTATTATAAAGTTTAAGCCTTGGTCTACTATGAGAAAGACTACATAATTCAAATGACCACCTTACTGCTTTTTGAAAACTTCGATCCGTTTGAGGCATTATTTGACCAGTTTTTAGTACATATCCGGCGTTATTTCAGCCATAACTTGACGAATGTTGGTTTTCAAGCGTCCAAGAGTTATAGGTTTATCCAATTAAAAATGATCTTCCACAGTCTTTCACAAAATCGACATCGCAAAACGAAAGATTACGCTGCTTAGCCATTTTCACTCGCACATATTGCCCATGTCGTGTTTCCAGGCAGTTTGTTATTTTCACGGTGAAATGGTCTCCCTTCAATTATTTGAGTGCGTTAATTATGCTTATTTACGTATTAGAGAAATATGCCACGTTACTGAAGAATTTTTTTTCGAAAAGTCGCCGACCACTCTTTGTTATTTAAGCTTCATTCTTTTCTTAAAGTCAGGAAAGTCCAAATGCAAATCACGCCAAAAATATGGATCTGCGGTTATACATTATCTAACAGTAACTTGCCTAAAGAGAGGTGGAATGAAGAAAACGATGATTCACAGAACTTACAATAAGTGCAAACGATCCAGTTCCTTCGATATTTTTTTTAAGTTACCAATAGCTTGAGTTGAACCATTATGGGTACCTAATCTCTTCTTATAATACGAAACGTGCCCATGATTGAATCTTATTTGAATCTATATTCCTGAATTTTAGCTAAAAAAAACACTTTAAGTTTAAAAGTTAAGTTTGGCAGATGTTAGAATATAGCATATAGCCTAACAGTATTTTTGAAATCACGAAATGGATTATATGTATTATTTATAGCGTACCATCCGCACCACGCGTTGTTGTGACTTCATATATTTTATATATTATATATGTATATATATGTAGCGTTTTCTTTGCTAAGCCAAAGCGTATCTCTAAATGGCTGTTTATAACCCCTGCAATAGGTTTTGGCCAAGCTCCTTCTCCTCTTAGTGTGCGTCTTAATGCCTTTTCTGAATCGCCACGGAACGATAGATTTTTATCACGAGCTCTATATTTTATGTTAGAAATAGACACCGCGTTGTAAAGATTCCCTTAGGAATTAGAGTATTTTTTTCTTTAAAGTTTCATGTTGATTTGGTCAGAACTCGAATCAGCGAACGGCTACTTGATAACATGCACTGCTAACCACACAACTCCTGCGTCAACCTCAGCTACGTTTAGGAGTTTGAAAATATTTTCGCCAATTACTTACAATCCACTAAACATTATTCCACCAACTAAAGTGCTGTTCTACCAAAAGTCCTCTCTGATTTTATTTATACTTTACCCTAAAAATCTGCAACAAAACCTGTCAAAAACACATAAATATCAAAGAGCATAACTTACACTGTATTCAAACGACGTAAGAGTACGAGTCGCTTATGTTTGGCAAAATACGAGTATAAAGTAAAAGCAACAACGAGAAGTATTTACATGAAACTTGTATCAACTCTTTGATATTTCGTTGTTTTCTTTTCGAATGAAACACTTTTTATTTATGCATGCAGAGATTTTTTGTATACCTTTTAAAATATGACTTGTATTTATATGAGTTTGGGTATTTATATATATTCTTGTGACATGAGAAAAAAAAAAATTTAGGTAAGCTATAAATAAATTATGAGACGCATAATACACTTTAAAGGTTTGTGAATTCTTAAGTACAAAAAAAAAATAAAAAATAAAAATCTTTATTTATTTGAAATATAAAATAAAAGAGCGAGAAATTATTTTAACGCTCTTTAAATGTGCTGATAAAACAAAGTGACCTTCCAAGAAAGAATTCTTAAAAAGTTGTCGCATAATTTTCTAATATTGAAATTTTCAACATAAACAGAAGCATTCATAAAACCATATCTGAGAAATTTTGTAAATGTAAACAAATAACAGTCTTATAGCTGAATAATTATACCGGCACACAGTGCTTCCCACAGTTTTCAAAAATCTTAGAATTCGTTCTCTGCCATAAGGATTTTTTTTGGTACTTTGGAAAGATATATATATTTTTAGTATAAAAAATTGTATAAAGGGTTTTCTTCAAAACTATTTATATTCTTTATATATATTAGGCTGCAAAAGTTCAAAAAATTTTATGCTAAAATATCAGGCAGAGCACTGTCATACATACTCGTAAGCCCTTCACGATATAAAATTGTCAAAATTACATATTTTAAAACAAAACGTTGATGAAGCGATTTTTTACTTTTAAAATCCATTTAGAAAGCAAACAAAGAAATAAAAATTTATAAAACATTTTTATAGTGTATTTTCACTATATTTAAAGAAAGCTAAATTTTCAATGGAGTAAATAAAAAATATATGTCAAATTTTGTTTTTCTCCTTTATTTAAAAATAATAAACTCGATTTTTTGAAACATTAAAAAAATTAATTTTTTTTCATGCTTTGCAAAGCAGCGATAAGTTCGACAACACAAGTTTCAGGCCGGTGAAAATGTGACTGGATATCATGAAAAATTCTGTTTTAGTCTGGTGATGTAAAGGTGCTCCATGGTGTGGAAAAGTAATTGTCGTTGAGTCTGACCGTCATCTGAGATTGGTTTCAATTACTCAGAGGATAGATATTGTACAAAAAAAAAAAGGTTGTAACTACTTGGAAAAGGATCGATACACAAAGAAGCTTGATGTATATAACACCCATGAGTTAAAGAAAAAGCACTAATTGACCGCATTTCCATTTGGAAATCGGTGATCACTCCTTACTAAATTAACGCACTTCTGAAGCAGATGTTGGCTGTTAAATTAAAAAAATTCTTAAAAGTTGGCCACATTTAGAAGCGTGTGAAATTGTCGCAGCCGAAAGGCCATAAGCTGGCACAAAGTCAGAAAAGTTTTGCTGTGTGCTTGGCTTGATTGGCAGGGAATCAACCACTATGAGCTGCTTTCGTACAGCCAAACTCTTAAATGGGTTCTGTACCATGAGTAAGTGGGCCGTTCAAATGGAAAAGCGTTGACCACAAGGGGCAAACTGAGATTTATCTGTAAAACGCCAGACTACACACAGCGATAGTGACTCACCAGAAGCTGAGAGTGTATCGCTGAGAGGTTTTGCCTCCTTATAGTATGAACCACGCCACAAGTGATTAACATTCTCTCATGTCTACGGTCTATGGCGAATGATTTGCCAGGAGAAGAGTTGGCCTCAAGAAAAGTCTATCATTGGTCACAACTTTGTTATGAGGCGCTCAACGGTATTACCTTCAAAATGGTAAAAAGTTATCGAGCGCAACGGTGTATATCGGAATATTCTAACTATGGTAAATAAAACCGTTAATTTAATGCTTAAATAATGCATTGCTGGCCTACACTTTTATGAAACAATAAGTGCAATATCGTGTACTTATTTAAATATATGATAAAAAAAATGTAATAAACTGGTTTTGTCCAGGTATTTTGCTCTGATTCACTTACTGTGTACGCGATTGATGAGAGCTTTTCAGATTTAGTTTATGATGATATTTTGAACTATAACCAACTTCCAGCTGAATGCAATTATTCTATCTCGGGTACCGAACTAATGTACAAAAAATAAAACAAATTTTTTCATGTATAATTCATAAAAGTAAACTACTCACCTTTTTTTGTTTATTACATAAAGTTTTTCTCATCAATTTGAAGGTTGCCGCATAACAGCCTGGAATATAATACAAAGGGATTATTAATATTAATTTTAATATTTTTTTTATTCACCTATAAAGCAAAATTTATAGGAGCAGAAAAAGAATATCACAGAAACTAATTTGCTATAATTTCTCCAATAGTCATTAAATTTTTATTTTTATACTTTTACGTAAAACTGGTATTCATAATAATTATTCTTGAAATTATTTCTATTTAGTTCGATATTTATTCAACCTTATTTTGACAATATTAAATAAACTCAATACTTGCATACAAGCTCGATGTCCTTGTTCTCTTCTCACAAACATAACAAAGGAAAATTTAAATTTTCTTTAAATCCTGTGGATCTCCATTATGTATTATGAAGTATTTTTAGAATCCTCTCTTATGGCCATTGAGCACGTAAATAAACAAGCATATATATTTACACACCCTTATCACTGACAAAATCTAAGGATTTTTTAATTTATTTTGCTTTCGCCTTTTCATTGCTTATACGCACAATAAATAAGCGTATCAGCCACAACAACAGCTCTACTTGACACAAAATCACGGTTATCTATACAAACAAATGGACCGCTTACGCATATCCAATGTCAACGTTTGTCCTTAGCAATTACATTTGGTCACGCTTCTTTTTGCGGCTATGGAGATGCAGCATTTATGAAAATACTCATCCCAAAATGACTTTCGCGATATTATCATTAAGTGTTTTGGTCACCTGACAACGGAAATGCGATGTTGCGGGGGCAAAAAACATGAAAAGCATATAAAATAAAGTCGGAAGTGAAAAATTAAATGTGTAAAAAGCGTTCAAAAAATTCATAAAATTCATGAAACGAATTAAAATGAAATTGAATTTGGGTTTTTGTCAATTTCATTTATTATTAATTTTTAACTGAAAACACGTGGGCTACTTTAAACTCTCATATGTATGTATGCTATGTATATATGTATGCATGCTTGTTGATTTTATATATAATATTTTTCTGAATGTGCTGTTGTTTTAAATCTCACCTTGACAACAGTAGATTAAATTAGGTTTAGAAAATGAAAAACTGTTCTGTTCGGTTCTTACCTTCGAGCTTCTGTGAATAAAGGAGCAAGCTAGATCAGTATATGTCATCGAAATCATCTAACGGAAGGTTCAGAAAACATGGTGCTTCTACGGGTTCGGACCTATTGGAAAAGGGGTTTAGATGATTTGGTTTCAGGGAGCATGCAAGGGGCTGATCAGTGTCGTGCGGGTTCTTATTGTAAGCAGAACATACAATGGATATATCGGGGTCAAGGCAGGATACAATATCTACGTGCTAAGTTGCGTCAGTATTACGCGAGACTCTCGAGGAAACTCGAGCTCTTCGCTTGCAACTACAGCGTTTGACTCTGAGAACGCTATCCACCGGTAGAGACTACAGAATGGTGTTAACATACTTTCGCTGAATAGCGTCTTAATCCTGTCGATAAGTCATTCTGTGCAGCGCTTGCTGTAGATGGTGCTGAATGCAGTCTTTGAGGTCAAATAGTTGCTTTCTGACGCGCCTGATGGATGGTTCAGCGTCTAGAAAGTGTTTATTGGGATGTTCTAGAAAGTGTTTATTGGGATGTTCTCTACAGTAGCATCCCAGCATGAATTACTGTCCAAGTGATGCTCTGGCGACATCAGAAGGTTTCCTAACATGGTCCTGAGGGCGGTGTTTTGGCATGCTTACAGCAGATTCATTTTCGTTTCGCTAATACCCGGCGCCCAGCTCGGTGCAACATAGTTTAAGATCCCTCAGCCAATTGACTTGTATGTTGTGAGCAACGTTTCCTTGTCTTCAATCAGGCGTTGAAATCTAACGCGTTGATGATTTTGTTACAATCGCAGTCTTATGCGGAGTGCAGACTATCGAATGTGACTCCCAATAATTTCGGGTGGATAGATAGTCACATAGACTTCGAGCCTGTACTTCTTCGCACACCGTAATTCGTAAGACATCCATTTTGTTCAAGGCCATCCTACCTGGAATCAACTGGTCGACTCGTTGGGGAGTACCCATAGACATACACGAGACTGGATTCTGACTTAATTTAGATTTCTCACTTGGAGATCTTTGGAGGGAAAATGTACTTTAAGTTAAAAAAAAACGGTTTATGCAAAAATTAAAGATGAAATAAAGTAAAATAAAATTATATAAAACAAAATAAATTAGAAAAACATAAAAAATAAAGTAAATTAAAACGGAAAAATAAATTAAAATATAAATAAAATAAAAATTCAAAACAAACAAACAAAACAATTAATAAATAAAATAAAAAAATTAAATTTGTACATATGTGCAAACACTTTTAAGTTTTTTTAGTACTTTTATTATGTTATTAATTATTTATTATTTTCTTATTAGAGAGCTTCATATATTAATTCCATCAAATATTCAATGAAAAAAGAAAAAAAGAAAGAAAAAAGAAACAACAAGTTAGATACATACGAACTTTGCCTTGCATTAATGTTTTTTGTAATAAAATTTTCACAATAAAGAGGACACAAATCTAAACTTTTTGCCAGACACATTGTCTGACTTTCCGCGTAGTTTGCAATTGTTTGGCTTAGGACATAGACACATTTCCATTGCATACCACAGGATTTGGCAGACAGCAAAGAAGTTTTCACGTTGCAGAGTAAGTGATTGAGTGTTGAAGTTTCCGCTGTAATTTTTTAGTCGAAACCAAAACAAGAAAAAATAAAACATAATCACATAGAATAATTCAAAAATAGGGAATTAAGTCAAAGCTCCAAAAAATATGGGAATTAAAAAAATACTGAAGCTGGGAAAGGCAGAAGCTCTACATTTTTTTTTGTTATTTTTATTTATTTATTCGAATTTCAAGAGAAAATACTTATCTGACAACTTCTAACCATAAAAAAAAAATATTTTGATTAAATTTCCGTATTTTCAATGTTCACTGTTGGCCGGCCGCTAAACTGTTTTATCAAGGTGCATTTTTTCTAATGGAAACTTTCCAAGTTTGTCTGCCTCCCTTTAGTAAAGTTCGAAACTAATCGAAAACGGATCAACACAGAGCCTAAGCCATTGATCGCAGAGATCTGAAACGTGATGGTTGTGCTTTGTATACAGCGTATGCATCCGATTAGAAAGAAATTTCCGAAAATCTATGGGAAGTTTGTGTGGGAGAACGCTATTTAGTAATGTTTTTCTTATATTCGAAAAATCGTATAAATGACTCGATTTGTGCCATATTGAGAAGGTAAATATTAGGCCAAGTAAGAAGTTCGTTTTTATCTAAGAGATCTAAGAGATGGCGTTATTGTTCATATTACTAGTGTTACGTGTCGCATCATGTCATACTTATGGGCCCGATACTGTAAACGAACGAACGTGTAACACAAAAGTGGTTTGCTAGGTTCCGCTCCGGTAATTTCAATGTCAAAGAAGCACTCGCCGGGAGGCCTGTCGTCGAAAATTTCGATAAAACCATGAAACTAGTGGAAACAGACCAGACCGTGAGCACTTATTTAATTGCTGAGAAACTAAAGATAAGCCAGAAAACCGTTTGGAATCATTTGCATAACCTTGGATTCAAATAGAAGCTCGATGTTTGGGTGCCACACGAACTAACGCAAAAACATGATGGACCGAATTTCCATCTGCGAATCGCTGCTGAATCGCCCGTTTCTGAAGCGGATTGTGACTGGCGATGAAAAATGGGTCACTTACGTCAACATCAAGCGCAAACGGTCGTGTTAAAAGCTCGGGGAAACAACCCAGACGGTGGCCAAGACCGGATTGACGGCCAGGAAGGTTTTGCTGTGTGTTTGGTGGGATTGGCAAGGAATCATCTTAGCCCTCTACTGCCAACAACTGGACCTCTTGAAGGCAGCACTCATCCAGAACAGGCCATCTTTGATTAATAGAGGCCGAATTGTGTTCCATCAGGACAACGCCAGGCCACACACGTTTTTGGTGACGCGCCAGAAGCTCGGATGGAAGGTCTTAATGCACCCACCTATAGTCCGGACCTGGCACCAAGTGATTACCATCTTTTCCTGTCCATGGCGAAGTTGGCCTCAAGATAGCTCTTTTTCTGAGTATAGAAGATTTCCTTCACAGCCACTGCTTACAATCCCATTTTTTTTATCTTCCTTTTTCTGTTCTTTGGGCACTACTTTTCAAGGTATACGGGCGGATTACGCCCAATTTTTGGTGTGATCCTGGTGCTGATCTGAATATATTCCACATTCTCTCCCACTAAATTTAACCCTTCATAGTAGAGCTTCTTGAAAAGTCAACTAATTTTATGTATTTTAAATTACCGATGGTGCAATAACCGCTTAAATTTTTAGGACACTCAATTTCTGATGTCTAAATTAAGTTAAATTGCGATAATAACGTTTTTTAATTCAAATAGAATAATGAGATTTTGATTTTCTTATAAAAAAATATGTAGAGAGAGAGATAGAGATGGAGAGAATAGTATCTTTTTCCAAGTGTTATCGACATTAAAGATTTATTGAACTAATTTATATTATTCGTTAGAAACCAGAAAAAATAAATTCTTCAGCATACTTGGGCTCCTTCAGCAACTTTGATTTATTTGTTTGCTTAAGCATCCTCTTTTGAAAACTCTTAACACGCTAATTCCATGTACCTGTGTGCATATGTGAATGTCTATATATCTCTGAATGTGCCATCTCAAGCCGAAAACATAACTTTCTCGTCACCTTTGCCATTTCAATTAATATGATTGCAAAACCCACAGGCAACAACAAGGCCAAATAACAAACCACAAGTAGCTTTTGAAGAGTATGCTGCTTCAACTCGGAAATTCGCAAACAGTGTTAAGTGGAGTGAGCTGAGTGCGGCTGGAGACCGAAGTACGGAAAAAGGAAACGGAGGGAAAGCGTCGAATACGTAAGCTCGGTGCCAACAAGCATTTGCATGTGTACACATTCATGTGAAGAGCTTAACACGTGCTTTCACATGCATAGACATGTGTATATATGCCTTACAC